CGGGTATCGCTGCAACCGGGCTCGGGAGGCGGGGGGAGCCCTTTAGAAACGAGCCCGCTTGGAGCTTTTTTTGTCTTGAAAGCTGCGCTCGCCAGCTGGGTCAGCTCGTTTGGGGGAGCTCGGAAACAATATCGCGACATGAGGGTTTTGCAGGGCGGGAGGGTCGAGCTGACAGTGGCTTTCTTCCTGATTGTAATTAATTGCGGGCAAAGCATTTCTTATAGTAAACAGGGCTGACGTTGGTTGGGGGTTTTTGTTTGGTGTTTTTTTTTCTTTTTTTTTTTTTCTTTTTTTCCTTTTCTGCTTCTCTCCCCGCAAGTGTGGTTTTTTAGCTTAGGAGGAGAGAATTGCAACCGCAAAGCGGAATAAGCAAACCTTATTTAGCAAGCTGTACAAACAGCACTTGGCTCAGGCGCCGTCTCTGGGGTATATCCTGGCTTTGTCCAGCCTTGCAGATACTATGTCATTATTTTCTTTTTTTTTTTTTTTTTAAGATACAGTTTGGAAGTGCAAACCCCGTTGTGTAATTCCCCATTCGCGCCTGCGGTGAAACCCTTGCCCAGTTTCTCCTCCGTGCCTAACTGGCCCCAGCACCGTTTTCCCTGCCCTTGACCGACAAACTCTTACAGCTCCGGGCTGCGTGGGAGCATCCCCGCGCAGTCGCCTACCCCACCGTGCTTCGCCCAGGCCCCCCCTTGCTCGCATCGCTTCCCCTAGTGCCTCAGCCATACGTTAGGAGATTTAATCTCCTGCCTCTACCACCACCACCTATTCATTTTTGATTTTTTTTTAATTTCGTGTTTGAGCTGCCCCAGCGCTCAAACACAGGGGCCCGGAGCCGATGGGCTGCGGATGCACGGCGGCAGCCCAGGATGGGCAAAACCGGTCTCCTGAGCTGAGCTGCCGAAAAGCAACTGCCGCAGCGTGGCTTTGCCATCGCCGGCATCCCTCGCCATCGCCGGGGCAGCACCGGAATCCCTCACCTGCCTCCAAAAAAGTGAGGGGATAAATGCTCTTTCCCTGCCTGCGTGGCGTGCGCGGCTGCTGTTCCAGCTGGCCGCTGGCAGGGCGAGGGGCTGAGATATTTGCTCGAGCCGCCGAAGCGAAGGAGAGCTGGATGTCACCTGCCGCTTTATGGTAACTGCGCCCAATTCCCTTCCTCGGCAGCAGCTTTTACGGTGGTTATTCGGTGGGGCTGCAGGAAGGACGTTGTGGAGCTTTGTGGAGCTTCGCAGAAAGGTTTCCAGACCTGATCTTTATCCGTAAATGATAAAACCAGTACATTTCCCTTTTTCAAGAGCGAATGGAGACTGCAGGTTGGTCTGAATTTGCCACGGGCCACAAAGGGGTGATGGGCTCTGTTGGGGTCATCTGCCACATCTGAGCTACCGCGTTTATCTGAGCTTCGTGCCTCGCTGAAGAAGATCGGTGGGATCGCCACCAAAACCCACGGGTGCCTGGCACAAAAAGTCTGGGCGCTTTGCAAAAGGGGCCGGGGCCGAGGGCTTGTGCCGGTGGGAAACACGTGCAGCAGAGCCAGGCGTTCCCGGCACGGCAAGGGCGAGAGCCAGGGCCAGGGGTGATGTTAGAGAAAACTAATTTTTAATCACCAATCCCCCATCCTAAGCTACCTTATGGCCTCGGATTGCCTGGCCAAAGCCAGGGAGCGATGCCAGCGGGCAGGGAGGTGGGTAAATGCCCGCTTGTGTGGAGATGTGGCAAAGGACTGACGGATCTGCTGATGTTATTTCCCGTTTTGTCTTCCAGCGGAGCCGAGTCCCTCTCTTCAGATGAAAAAGGTACAGTAATTTTGTGGAATACAGCGCTTCAGATGGGTTTGTTAGGAGAAATGCCCGTCCTTTGGAATGGAAATGCCTATTTTGTAACCGCGGGCTTTAAAAAGCGGAGTGTAACACCTTAGCTTAACGGATAAGAGTTTTGGGGTTTTTTTTTGTACTGATTTTTAAAATTCATATTCCTTTGCTCTTTATTCCCTTCCTCTGACCTCCCTAGCACAAAACCGCCAAGAGAAGAGTTAAATCTCTTTCAAGCTTATATCCCCCGACCGCTTTTCTCTTGCAGAGGTGGCGGCCGGCGGCGCGGAGGGAGAGGGCTCGGCCGAGGAGCACCCGGCGGGTGAGCACACGCGTGGCTGTGGGTTTTCCCCGCGCGAGGGGTGGCGTGGCCGGCCTTGCACCCGCCGTTTCCCCGCAACGTTGATAGAACCCCGGCAGACGCTGCTGCAGCTCAAGTCGCTTGCTTTGCGATACCGGTTTCTCTTCGACTTGGGTTTGGCAGAATAATTTATGGAAGCCACGTATGGCGCATCCCCGTGTGTCGCGTCACTGGTGGGACGCGCCGGCTCCCACCGATGCTTCTCCCACCTCACGTGCGTGCCACGGAAAACCGTAATTTAACTGGGTGGACTGGGATGTGCCACAGGTGAAGCTCCAAAATAGTCCCAGGTTGTAGAAAACATTAAAATTAAGCGTCTCGAACGTCACCCGTACCCTTCAGAAGGGCCTGGGTGACCCCCGAGTCTCCCCTGGTGCTGGGATTTGATGCTCTGGTGCTCCTCTCTGCCTAAGGGTGCCTCAGTACCTTTTTCTGCTCCTATATTATCTAGCTTGCTGACCAGTCTGGTGTGTTTAAGCTTCTAGATGTATCCTTTTACTTACCGGTGGCATTGCTTGATTTCATCCTGCCTGTGACTAACGGGGTGTAATTTTGTTAAGGAGAGGACAGTTCCGAAAACAGCTCCAGCAGTAGCTTGGAAGAGGAGTCAGGTGAGCATCGCGTTGCGATTTTTGCGTTTCCTCTTCTGAAAATTTACGTTCAGCTTAAACCAGCTGCTTTTCGTGGGAGTGGTTGCAGGGTTATTGCATAAGACTGTTAATTCAGTGATCGTGTGCTGAAAAGGAGAATGATGTTTTTGTGAGCAAATGATTTCCCAGCCGCTCAGTTTTGAGCAGAGCAATAATAGAGGAGCAGCAGCTAATGTTGCTTTAGCCTCATAGACACAATACACGCAGATGTTTTTACACCACACTAGTTGTCCAAACACCAAGAGGCTATAAATCTGCTGGAGAGTTGGCAGCAAAAGTGGCAAAACAGGATGGACAGGAAAAGAATTAAAGGAAGCGTTTGCTGTTGATGAAAAGCCTGCGGGTTTGCGCTTACGCGGCTTATACCACCAGCAGTTTATTCTGGTTTCCTGTAAGATTGATAGTCTTTAGTTAAATAATTACAAAGCTTTTTCTCATCAGATGCGGAAGAGCTGGATGGAAGGAGGTCGGGTGAGCGTGCTTTTATTTTCTTCCTTATATCCGTCTCGCAAGGCGCGAGGAAGCCACCACGGGTAAGGGATGCACGAGGGTAACGATGGGTGATGGCAGGAGAGCGATTTAGGAGCTGGTCCGGCCGTCCCCCTCCGCGTCTTTCGGTAAAACGACTCGCCGGAGAGCACGCGCCCAGGAAGGGGGTTCGCCCGGGGGTGCATGCGCGGTGCCTTTCCCTGCAAACGGAGCCCGGCGCGGGGCTGGGGGTGCGGGGAGGTGCCGGACGGAGCCGAGCCGAATTTCTGCCTGCCACGGGGTCGCCGCAAACCCCGCTGCGGCTCGGGGACTGAAATAGCCTGGCCGCGGGAAGGGAGCCAACGCGCTGGGTGGTGTTTGCCTGATGTTTTCCAGGCCGTTCGCTGCAGCGAGACGTTTTTTCGCCTCTCCCACATCTGCCTGCCCGGGAGGGCGTTGCTGTCCCGGGATGACTTTGGGACAGCCCGGCTGGAGTCCCAGCTTGCAGGGAGGGGTTTTGGTGGGACGGGGAGCGGGAGCGAGCGGCTCTGCCGCTCGGCTTCTGCCAGACCCACCCTTTGGGCTAAAAGCTTTTGCCCGATGCGTCGGCTCTGCTTGCTTTCTGTTGCATTGGGGGGTTAATAAGGAGGATTCAGGCACTTTTCAATCATTTTAGGGACCAATCCACTGCAAGCAGCACGGTTAACCTGCTCGCGGGGAAGCGCCGTTGCCAGCTTCCATGCCGGGTGGTTGAACTTTGTACTTGGCACAGTGAGACTCGTCCTGGGGATGAACCTGGGTTTTTAACCCCAGTGGAAATTTCCAGTAGTTTGGGCAAGTTACGAGCTTTTGACAAGAATTGTATCCTGAGGTTCAGCTTCATCCCCACGCTGTGCAAAGCCTGCACACACAGGTGTGCAAGTGTGCCTGCAAGAACTTAGTCCTAGGGATATTCTCCTTAGGTTTTTATGAACGGAAGCAAATTAAATTGGTGGGTTGTCCTTGCTGGATATGGGAGCAGAAACCCGCTGGAGGCTGAGGTGTTTGCTGCAACTTGTTTTTTGTAGATGAAGAAGAGGAGGAGAAGGAATCGCTAGCGCGCTGCAATGAATCAGGTAGTAACGGGTCTCTTGAGGGCTGGGTTTTTTTTTCTGAGTGCTTAATTACTTTGCTTTTCATGAGCTGATCATCTTCCTGTTTTCTCACTAGGAGTGAAGTGTCTGCCGCCCTGTGAGCATTGCAGAAATGAAAATGTACGTTTATTAAAAAAAAAAAAAAAAAAGCACATATTTTTCATGAGACAATTTGCAGAACGTAATTCTGCTCTCTCATCACCTTTTTAAATATGTTTTTTTTTTAATCTATTTATAGGACCAGAAGGAGGAAGTGACCCCTAGGATGCTTTCTGGAGGACAATATGTGTATGGATTTTTTTAATATAATGGGTATCCATTTACATTGTTCTCATCAAGATATTTCTCTCTTCGGTTTAAGTGGGGAAAAAGGCTAATTTGCTGCACAGATACATTTAGAGTTATACCAGAAGATGCCCCCAAATCCTTAAAAATAAACAACTTAGGGCAGCCGCCCCTGCTGCGTCCAGATCCTGGTCCAAAAAAGCTCTTACGATGGCTTTCTGCCTGCCTTGTCTTGCTGCAGTGATTAACATCAGGCACATTTTTACATGCTTGTTTTAGTCTGGACGCACATGAGGGGTCTTGCCCTGCTTCACAGGAATACTTGTCCTCCCTGTTTGCACCGACCTTGCATTTTTCTTTGGATGCCAGCCTTGTTCGCCCTCTCTCTGTCTTGGAAGTTGTCACCGGTGTGTGACGTTGGTGATGTCCGTGTGTGATGTTGCTGTTGTCTGTGTACGATGTCGATGCCGTCGGCGTACGGTGTTGGCTCTGATGCCGACGGGAGCCGGGCTGAGCCCTTTGTGTAAAAGCAGCTGCCTCGTTTGCAGGAAACGTTATGCAAAATGTTCATGACAGCTATTTTGCGTGCACTGGCTGGGTCCTCCTGGCCAGTTTTTAACACTCCAGCGATTGTTTAAACATTGAGACTGGAGAGAAAAAATTGTTGTGGCTTCTGTGCTATTCAGATAAAGTGCCTTGCGCTTGTTGGGAAGGGAGTTTCTCCGTTATCCCTTGCAAAGCACATTGTTAACGGTATTTACTAGGTGGTGGAAAATAAACTAACCGGGTGACTCTTGCCCACGGCAGGGTGCAGCTGGACGCAGAGGGGACCTACCAGTGCAGCCTCACGGGCTTGATTTTTGAGGTAACGGGGGCCGTCAAAATCACTTATTCCCTCTTATCCTGGAGCAAATACGCCAACCTCGTGGAAAAGCCGTGGATCGTGGGCGGCCCCCTCTTCGACGTGCGCTGCGACTCGACGCCGGCTCTCACCTCCATCCAGTTTCCCCACTCCCTCTGCCTCGGCGGTGAGTGCCGGCGGGGGCAGGGGTTGGGGGGGGGGGCTGCCGGCTCCCCGGCGCAGGAGGTGCTGAGGCAGCCCCGCGTCCCCGCAGATCATGGCGCCGGCATGGCCTTCAAGGTTTTGCACGTCAAAGGCGAGGGGGCAGCCATCGAGCCCTCCGCCGACTACTCGGCCTCGCACGTCAAGTGGCTGGTGAGCTCGCTCTCGCCGGTGGGACCCCTCATCCAGAGCCAGGAGCCGGTGCAGTACCACGGTGCCGTCATCCTCTACAAAGTCGTCGACGAGCATCCCTCCTTATCCTTTCGGGTCTACGTGGCTACAAACAACGACTCCTTTATAAAGGTATGGCTCGTGTCGGGGGGGTCTAGGGTGGCACGACGTAGAGATGTACGGGCAGGGCTGGTTATGGGGGTGCTACGCGGAGGATGGGTACAGCGGAGAGATGCTCTTCTCTCGCCCTACTGTTTGCAGGCAATAGCGATGTACATGTATAATGAGACTTCCATAACGAAAAGGTCTGCCAAGGTAGGGTACGATGCTTCAGAAACCTGTTCGCCACCGGAATCCACGGAGCTCAGGATTTATGTCTGAAAGGGCTTCTTGTCCTCGCGCCCATTCCCGGCTACAATACGTAGGCAAACAGTAGGAGAGGACAGCAACGAATAACCTTCCTTTTATTCGGGTCGCAAACTCTTCTGTCTAATTTCACCCAGGTAGCACAATAGCTGAAGAAGTTTATTTGATGTTTTTTGAGGATGCTGTTTAGTGCACAGCTTTCTGTAAAGTTTGCCCTGTGGGACAGGTCACAGACATTTTATAGAGCTGGGGACAGAGAAGAGCCCAAGGAACCGCATTAGCACAGGTTTTAAATGTTAATTCCTTTACTGAGGTGAGTAACCTTTAAATTGTATTTTTAAATTTAAATTGTATTTTTAAATTTTAGGATATCTCAAGAGCTGTAAAACATTCAAATAAGAAGTTTATTAAAATTGACAAGCCCCCTGTATGCCAAAAATTACTTCAGAAAGGGAAGAGGTATAGATTAATTTGCGAGCCAGAAGCTGAAATAACTCCAGAGGTAAGTCCCTTACACAACCCTCTTTTCGTGCATGGCCACTTAATTAGAAACATGACACAAAATGGCTTTTCCTGTACGTTCCTGCACTGGCATTAAGGGCATTTTTCACATTCATTTGCCATTGCGGCAGAAAGCATTTGCCTCTTAGAGCCCTAAAATTTGGGGATGAAATCCTGATGCTGAAGTCAACAGCAACACCCTGGGGAGATTGGGGTTGGGCTCAGATCTGTGCCACAGCCAAATACCTCCTCTTTAGCTTACGCGTCGGATAAATATTTATTTTTAACATATTTACATTGTATAGGAAATTGAATTTGTTGATGGATCTCTCTTGAAACTAAAAAGTTACATTGAAGTCTATTTGGAGAAACCCGATGACTTCACCTTGTCTTTGGTTGAGCTGGAGTCTGATGCGACCGTATGGAAAGCAAGACTAAGGGAGAGTGAGTCTTTGGTCTTCCCACGGCTAGTTTGGTCCTGCGGAAAAGATGCAGGAGTTGGGGTATAATTCCGCCCTTAGATGCACCTAAATTCCTGCCGTTAAAATCGCGAGGTTTGGAGCCGGAATTGATAAAACACAAAGAGAAGAGCTCCGGGAGGTCGGGTAGTGGATGTTGCGACGGCTGCGGGGTGTGCGGGAGGATGATCCGCTTTAGTTTTACTTACTGGGAATAATATGCAATCTCTATTGCATATTATAGATGGCGTGCTGCAGCACATCGGATACAAGGGGAAAAATCACCTCATTATGTGAAATCTTAGCTCAGCAGCTGGAATCCACCCAGCAGCTTGGTTTTGTGCCTGAGAATTGTTGGATGTAGGGCACAGCAGTGGGAATTCCTCCCTCACCTTTTGTTTCCTCTGAAAACTGTTTCCCAGGTGACTGGATACATTACGATCAGAACAAAAACGAGCAGAAAAGAAGCACAGTCAGTAGTAAGTCAATCTGAAGATAAGTCGGGGTTGCTTATTCTCTGGGTACCTGGCTTGCTGTTGTAGCTCAGGTGACACGAAAGAAGTAACATCACCTCTCGCTTGCTTCTTAGATGTCAAAAAACGGAAACCAGCCCTCAGCATTTTGGAAGAAGACGAGCTCTGCAGCAAAAAGCAAAAGACTGGCAATACTGCAGGTAGAGCATTTCTGTGTCGTTTAAAATAACAGGTTTGAGTTGTTTTGGGTTTTTTTTGTAGCCCATGAATTGAACCTGAGCTCACTCTTTTAAAGACTCGCACAAATCTGAGCAGGAAATAGGGGAGGAGAAAGCACTGCTTTTGTAGGTGTGGAATTTGTACCTACATTGATATGCTTTAGTACACTTTAGTTTGTCATTCACTGGGTAAGTAAATGGGGAAAAACAGCTAGGAAATTTGCTTTATAAGGGACAGCTAAAATGATATCGTCTTCTAGGACTGGGAAATAGCGTCTGTTTTTGAAAGAGATTTCCGCTACGTGTCTCAGATTTTGCATTTGGGATATCTCCTGCGCCATAACAGGCTAAGTTTTTCTGGGGGGAAAAAAATAAATAAAAAAGAGCTCCTACTTCTTGTTGACATGTGATGTCCTGACGGTCAGAGATACTCGCTGGCTGGGAGCTCCCACCCAGAAACTACTTATTTACTAATAGTTCGTTGGAAAAAATGGAGAAGAAATAATGTTAGTTCAATAAGTCAATGACAAAAAAATCAGCAGAAGTAGCCATATAGGTGTTTGTTTATGGGTGCGTGTAGCCACCAGAGGGAGAGCTTCCATCCCTCAGAACCTCAGGTTTATGCGGAAAGTGGCTCAGTCTGTGTAACAGCGTGGGCTGAGGCTTCGGAGCCATGGTAATTAAAGGAAAAAAAACCATCACCTTTCTGGAGCAGCCGTAGGCTTCGAGAACAACAGACATCTGAGTGTGCCAGGAGGTAGCGAGTGCTTAGTGTGGCCTTAACATTACATGTCTCAAAATTTCTGGGTGCTTGGTAACATAACGTACCAAGGGAGGTTCTTCTGCTGGAGGAACAGCTGCTTATAAATGGGGAAAAAAAACCCTTTACAGCAGCAGCCAGCATGCAGTCGGTGTTGTCGTCTTCGTGAGCTAGGCTTCTTACTCCTTCGGTGCTTTTCTGCAGCGCGTGGCTCTGAGCTTGCTGGATAATCTGAATAATAAGATCACCTTCATCGTACGTCCCTTGGCCACATGCAGAACTAATAGTGTAATTTAGTTACAAGTTTAATGAGAAGGGCAGTGTTAAATCTGTTCTATGTCTTTTCAGATGGAATTGAAATAAAAATCTTAACTGATCAACAGCTGATGGTGATCGCAAAGCTGTTTGGTAGGCAGTGGAGAGAAATTGCTATTGAGTGTCTTCAGATGGAGATGAAAGACATTGAGCAGATTCAGGCAACGGAGGAAGAAGTTAATATGCAAAAATTTCTGGTGTTAAGCAAGTGGAGAGACAGAGAACAAGGCAACGGAACTGCAGAAGCTTTGTACAGAAGCCTCCGTGAAAAAGCGTCCCATGAGATACTGCAAGCCCTACAAGGTATTGCCTTCCCGTTACATTTATTTAATTACATCAGTGTGTTTCAGGTGTATTTTAAGAATTTGCATCAGAGGTTTTACCAAATACCTAGTACATGTTTTACTACGTAGGTCAAAATTGTCTCCCTTCTGATATTAGCAATGGCTTTCTTTCTTGTGGCATTTTTATACTTCCCTTCAGAAACTTAGAAAATGAATATTTTTGCACTGACTGGGTTGAGAGTATTCTCAGCGTGACCTGGCCGTCACGCTCAAATAAATCAGTGTTACATACCCAAGCCAATTCTTCATTGTCTCAGGGAGTCCAAAGAAAAGATGTTTGGGCCTTTACTCTTGTGTATTTTAGGAAGGGTTAATTAACACCTTCCTCTGACGGATGACTTTGCGGTTCGGTCCTGCAGACCCGTGTGTGTGTTTATGTATTTCCTCACTGCCCACGTGTGGTCCCGCTCATTTCTGTGGGGCTCCTTACATTCGGTCCATCTTCTGCAGACCGAAGTTGTTCACCGAGCTGAGAACTCAGCCAGCCAAGGGGAACCTTTCCCAAAAACTAAATATATTTTTTTCTGGAACAGGCAAAACTTTGTTGTTTCTTCCTTCTCCCTAAAAGCAACCTGGCTGCAAAGGGTGGCGAGCTGCTCGTGCTCCCTCGCTCATCTGACCCTCACAAACCTATCCGTGCCGTAGCCTTGCGCTGTCTCCTAGGATTTTAACGCATTTATTATTCCACTTGAATATTGCAGTAATTTCCAGAGATGAGATAATCCGTCTGTGTTTGTGCGGGTTCCTCTCCTCAGGTTTCTCGGCGCGGTGCTGAGCCGGTGAAGGAGCGCGGTGGGAGCTTCACGTCCCGCTTCTCCGGCCGCTTCCCCGGCGTCTCGCCGAGATTCGGGAAAGAAGACGCAAGGCATCATCGCTCAGCGGAAAGCTTAGGCGGGCTCTTCGCAAGAAACGTAAATGAAATTTTGCGTGGATACAAGCAGACCTAAGGCTTTCGGGAGCAATGACTCGTGCGGTGGATCCCGGCACCGCGGCCGGGAGTGCCGGGCATCACGTTCGGGGAAACCCAACACTGCCAACCGGCTTTGTCTCATTTGAGCCAGTCCTAAAAGACATGAACACTGGAAGAAACCAGTTTGCCTTGTTCAGGTGTATGATCCTTATCTGGAAACATTTTTATTTACATCAGGGAAAGACAGGGAGAAAAGTTACGCCGTGACTTTTGTCCCCTTAAAAAAAAATATTGAACTGCCAAAATCATGAGGTACATCGTATTTCTGACAGATGCCCAAGATCAGGGAAGAATAATCCTAAACTTGCAGATAAATTCCTTTGCGTAATCACTGTATATATACATAATTACTGTATATACTCACGTACATTCAGTCCTTGTTAAGCTGTGGTTCTGTTTTCTTTCATGGGAGCACCACTATTGACTTGAGGCAGCTTTGAATTTTCCTGGGAATTCCTTCTTCACTTTTCTGTATAGCCCGTCTCAATTTTCATGAGATATTTTTTAATGTTGTATATTTTTTTTTTCTGTATTATAAACTTTTTATACTTTTTTTTTTTACTTGATTAATTTTAACTTGAATAGAATTAGGTGCTTAAACTAAAATGGGAAAAGCGAAAATCTCTGTGAAGGCTGTTACTCCGTCGGCAACGCACGTACTACAGAATTGGAAAAGGTTTGGAAAGAATGCTACTTGCAGAAGAGAGCGGAGACGCCACAAGGGAGATTGTCTAGTTTTTAAAGACACAGGATTCTTCTGGTCATCTTCCTCTGCGTATGTTTATGAAAGAAGCAGCATACTTTTAAAAAATAAGGATTAAAAAGGAAACATTTACACTATTTACGTATGATTTTTTTGGATTATTTTTTTATTTTAGCTATTGGGTGAAATGTTGCAAGTTTGTTGTATGTCGTGGGCCGTCTTTCCAAGCCTTGATGCTCCACGTTAATGAACATCCCAGGGGGTGGCTGAGGAAAAGGGCTGTGTCGGTGCCCAGGACCTCGCGGACTTTTCTGCTGATGGGGCGTTTAGGGGAAAAAAAAAGCTGTGGCAGGCAGGGTGGGCTCGTGGGGGGCTCTCCAGCCCCAGGCAGAGCTGCCCTTGGCTCTTCAATCTGGGACAAGCGGCGGGACATTGCCATCAGGGGCACCTATAAAATACCCGATAAAACCCAAAGTTCTAATAGGACCCTCTGGTCAGAAGCAGAAATCAGTAAATCTAAGCGGGAAAGAAGGTGCTTGTTTGTAATAACGAGGGTAACGGGATAGCGTAGCAGATGGCGAAAAGAGATGATAAGGTCTTTGACCTTCAGGTTCTTTAAACCAAATTCAAGAACCTTTTTAAAAAATTGTATCTCTGTGGTCTTCAGTTTGGCTTTGTTCCAGTTCTCGCAAGCAGAAGGAATGAAAATATTACAGTTGCATAAGGTCAGCAGGGCACCGAGGCTTGAGGTTGTGCTTACCGTACGACTTGGTCTGTGCTGGGGATCGTCTGTGGGAGTAGGGATTTTAAACTAAGATACCAGTGCTGAATGTTACTACGGTATGCCTTTACATGCCAGCAAGTATTTTAAAAGTATGATCGATATGAGATTATCATATTGATTCATGCTATATCTCAAGGAAGAAAAAAGTCACCACATTTTTTATGCAAACTTTGATTTTATTGGGCAATAAATAGAATAAATAAGGAATATCATCATAAATAAATTGATTATTATAAATATGTTTCAATTCCTGAAAATTACAGCTGAATAAATAAAACAGTGAAGACAAATTACAGTTGAGTGTTCGGTGGTTTGAGAACATTTTGGTGCTACAATGTAGCTTATTTTCTAGAAATCTAGAAGTCGAACGTGATAGCTTAAAAAGCACTGAAAACAGCTCGCTAAAACCTGATTTCTAAGAAACTCTGTGAAATAATTATGCGCTAGACTCCTTAAAAAGCCCCCAACCACCTGGCAGGGTATTGACCCTACTCTTTTTTTTCTCCAAAACGTTCCTAGGTCAAATTTATACCCCAAGCGCTGGCGGGCTGGGCGCTTACAGCGAGCTCTCTGCCGAGGTCAGGTAATTCATCATCCTGTTGATGGTGACCGTGCGGATTCGGAAGGCGTGAAGGATGCTGCAGAGCCTCATCCTCTCCTTGAAGGAGGTCAGCCCCGCGCCTGCCGATGGCTGCGGCACGCTCCCGCTGCCGGTCTTCAGGGCCTGGGAAGAGGTAGGGCTGTTAAAAACTATCACCAGAAAGTGGCTAAAACGTAAAGCTCTTTAGGTTTTTTCCGCCCCCTGAGTGATAAACGGCAAGGCTTAGAAATAAGGTATGTAAATGAGAGATTTGAAATATTTAATGATATAATTAATAGACTTAGGATGCGCAGCTGTACTTCCCTTGAGACGAAAATGGCCATTCATGCACAAAGGCTCTTTCTGCCCAGGAATAAAGATGCTTTTCTAATAAACAGCCTATGGCCGGCTTTGTCTAGGGACCCGTTAGACTGGGCTCATCTGCCCGTGGCCAGAATCTCCGGGCTATCGGGAGATGCTGTGTCAATACAAAGGCAATTAACTTTTTTTTTAAGTAGCTTTTGTTAAACAAACCGACAAGCTTTTAACATCTATTTCCTCTAGTCAGTAAGACTATTTATCAAAGTTCAGTACATCCTATGTCATATCCAGTATAGCAGGTGTATTGTATTTCAGTATTTGGAAGAGAAAGAGAGCCAGGTCCCTTTTACTCTATCTTTTACTCTATTTTTGAGTTCTTTGAGGAACTGGCAGAAAATCCTGCACCCTGTCTCCTTGCGAGAGCAGAGCAGCATGAAATAAGGAGGGCTGCTAAGGAGCCATACGTCCGAGTCCTGATGTATTGACCACATCAGCAAGGCAAAAATATGAAGCGAGAGACATAATTCATAAGAATCAAGTCTTGTCTAGGAAAAAACAGTAGCAGACAATCTTTTAAATTACCAGGTTAAAGAAAGGTCACTATTTGACTGACTACAGAATGGAGTGCACTGAATTAAAAACTCTGGTTTAAGACAGAAATAGTAGAAAGGAAGGAGACAGAAATACTTACTTTCATCATTTCATCAATCTTTGCCAGCACCTTTTGATCATTGAAGTTCTTCAGCTCGGCCCTGTAGGCATTCAGATCCTCATAGATGCCCTGCAGGCATTTAGTCTGCAAAAGTCAGAATTAGGAAATGTGGGAATCTGTTGTTAAAACGCTTTAAACATATGACGAGCAAAAGAAGGGGTTCTTTGGGGAAACTTGCAATTTACCGTATCAAAAGTAGATCTTTCCAGTGCTGGACAGTTTCCAGTCTGCAAATTAAAGAAGAAATGAGACATGATGATTTTGTGGAAGTGGGAATTATATGGCTGTTCCATGAAAATATGATGCTGAAACTCAATATTTTTTTTTACCCCTGGATCCTCAGATGTGCAAGCTTTTATCGTGTTGGTTTGATTCTTAGTGATATCTTCAAGATCAACCTCTTCAAGGGTACACTCAAATCCCAGGGTGCTGAGATCCTGTGTTAAAAAGGTAATAAAAAAGGGTCATTGACTCAGCTTCACGGTACTGTGCGTACATATATGTAAATGCACACAATTATAAGTGATCTGTCACAGCTGTCTGAGCTTAGCTGAATCCTTGGAATGAGGCTGTGTGAGGACCGTGGTTAAATACAAATGCTAGCAAATGGACTAAGAGACTGAAATGCATGGGGCAGTTGTGTTTAGTGGGCATAAGCTCAGGCTTTGCACAGATTTGTTTTATATGTTGTCGTGAATCGCACTGCCTCCGTTACTTTGAACTATTCTCTCAGACATCGAATCTATTGAGAACTTTATGTCGCTATGGTTTTAAACGTAAAGTATCTCTTAGAAAGTGAAAAATAACTAATACCATCTGCATAGACATTTAACGGTGCTCACTGACCCACTGCAAGTGTGGGAACAATGCACCTATTTAGTGGTGGGGGTTTTTGTGGTTCTCCAAGATGAATCTTGCAACAATAGCAGGGAATTTTAGCAAAAAAAATCCCCTTGGCACTACTGCCAGGGGGCTTTAGTGCGGAAAGATGCTAGAGCACCGAACCGACAACACCAGCAGCAACATGTGAACACTACGACAAAGTCGTGAGCAAGTTCTTTCCTGAGCCAGTTCTGCAGTGGCCTTAGAGAAAGTGTTCAAAAATGAGAGAGCTCCTGAAATTGCTGGTGCCACTAATGGTGTGTGTGCTCCTGTGGGGTTGCGGTGAATAAGGGCTGAGAAAGACACCTGAGCAAATCCCGATCCTAAAGGGCTGCTCAGGGGAGGCACGAAAGCAAAGACCAGGCGTAGAGTCTTAAAGGGAGTCTGCAGAGAGCATCCACCCCGCTGGGTGCCCTCACCAACCCATGTCTGCCTGCCTGGGTACCCTCACCAATCCCTCACTGCTTGCCTGGGTGCCCTCACCAACCCCATCACTGCCCACCTGGGTACCACCACCAATCCCTCACTGCTTGCCTGGGTACCACCACCAACCCATCACTGCCCGCCTTGGTGCCATCACTGCCCCATCACTGCTGGTTACCATCACCTCCTGCCTGGCTGCCCTCACCAACCCATCGCTGCCCTCCTTGGTGCCCGCGCCAACCCATCGCTGTCTGCCTGGGTGCCTTTACTGCCCCATCACTGCCTGCCTGGGTACCCTCCCCAACCCATCGCTGCCCTCCTCGGTGCCCTCCCCAACCCATCGCTGCCCACCTGGCTACCACCCCCCCCATCACTAC